GGAAGAAGTACTCATGGATTATTCCTAGGCCAATCACTCGGATAACGTTGGGTTACCATCATTTGGGGGAATTGAAAAACCCCCACCGAGGGGAATCCACCCAGCCCGGATGGTGGTCCGGACCCCAACCCTGGTGGAACCGGATCCACCCGGGTCGGGTGGGGGTCCGGACCATCCCGGGTGGGAACCGGATCCACCCAAGCCGGGTGGTGGGGGTCCGGATCATCCCGGGTGGGAACCGGATCCACCCAGGCCGGGTGGGGGTCCGGACCATCCCGGTTGGGAACCGAATCCATCCTGAGCGGGTGGGAACCGGATGGACCCAGGCCGGGCGGGGGTCCGGACCAGCCCGGGTGGGGACCGGATGGACCCATCCTGGGTGGGAACCGAACCCACCAGAGCCTAAGTCCTAGAGAGGGACAAAGAAGAGCTGACACTAATTTATTCCTAGGCCAATCACTCGGATCATGTTGGGTTACCATCATTCTAGTCATTTATGAATTCCCCACCGAGGGGAATCCACCCAGGCCGGGTGGGGGTCCGGACCATCCCGGGTGGGATCCGGATGGGGGTCCGGACCCTAAACCTGGGTGGGAACCGGATCCACCCAGGCCAGGTGGGGGTCCGGATCCCACCCTGGGTGGGAACCGGATCCACCCAGGCTAGGTGGGGGTCCGGACCATCCCGGGTGGGAACCGGATCCACCGAGGCCGGGTGGGGGTCCGGACCATCCCGGGTGGGATCCGGATCCACCCAGGCCGGGTGGGGGTCCGGACCATTTCGGGTGGGATCCGGATCCACCCAGGATAGGGGTGGGGGTCCGGACCCTAAACCCGGGTGGGGACCGGATGGACCCAGGCCGGGTGGGGGTCCGGACCATCCCGGTTGGGGACCGGATGGACCCAGCCCGGGAGGGAACCGGACCCACCAGAGCCCGGGTCCTAGGGAGAGACAAGATACCCCTTCCTCATTCCAGGGCCAATCACTCGGATAACGTTGGGTTAACATCATTTGGGGCGTTTGGAAATGCCCCACCAGGGCCCAATGGAGAGAAGATAACAACTCCCTACCCTATTCCAGGGCCAATCACTCGGATAACGTTGGGTTACCTTCATTTGGGGCGTTCGGAAATGCCCCACCAGGGCCCAAGGGAGAGAAGATAACAACTCCCTACCCTATTCCAGGGCCAATCACTCGGATAACGTTGGGTTACCTTCATTTGGGGCGTTCGGAAATGCCCCACCAGGGCCCAAGGGAGAGAAGATAACAACTCCCTACCCTATTCCAGGGCCAATCACTTGGATAACGTTGGGTTACCTTCATTTGGGGCGTTCGGAAATGCCCCACCAGAGCCCAAGGGAGAGAAGATAACAACTCCCTACCCTATTCCAGGGCCAATCACTCGGATAACGTTGGGTTACCATCATTTGGGGCGTTTGGAAATGCCCCACCAGGGCCCAATGGAGAGAAGATAACAACTCCCTACCCTATTCCAGGGCCAATCACTTGGATAACGTTGGGTTACCATCATTTGGGGCAAACGGAAATCCACCACCATGGCGCTGGGGAGGGGCAACATACCCGATTCCCTACCCTATTCCAGGGCCAATCACTCGGATAACGTTGGGTTACCATCATTTGGGGCCATCTTGGGATGGATATGAGCCCGTGCAAGGGTGATATTGAGCCTTGGCCCCTAAATCCCCCGGTACAATGGAGCGTTTGTCTCATTCCAGCCGGTCAAAAGGACCCTTGGGATGGATATGAGCCCGTAGGAAGGTAGCTCCCACCCTGTTTTACACTTCCCACCGGTCATCCAGGCCTTTGCACCGGGAAAAAAGAGGTCCCGGAGCCCATCCGAGCCCGTGCGAGGGTGGGATTGAACCTTGGCCGGTCCATTGGATCATTTGCCTCATTCCAGCCGGTCAAAAGGACCCTTGGGATGGATATGAGCCCGTAGAAAGGTAGCTCCCACCCTGGACTACACTTCCCCCCGGTCATCCAGGCCTTTGCACCGGGAAAAAGAGGTCCCGGAGCCCGTCCGAGCCTGTGCAAGGGTGGAATTCAACCTTGGCCGGTCCTTTGGATCGTTTGTCTCATTCCAGCCGGTCAAATGGACCCTTGGGACGGATATGAGCCCGTAGAAAGGTAGCTCGCGCCCTGGTTTACACTTCCCCCCGGTCATCCGGGCCTTTACACCGGGAAGAGGAGGCCCCGGAGCCCCTCCGAGCCCGTGCAAGGGTGGAATTCAACCTTGGCCGGTCCTTGGGATCGTTTGTCTCGTTCCAGCCGGTCAAATGGACCCTTGGGACGGATATGAGCCCGTAGAAAGGTAGCTCGCGCCCTGGTTTACACTTCCCCCCGGTCATCCGGGCCTTTACACCGGGAAGAGGAGGCCCCGGAGCCCATCCGAGCCCGTGCAAGGGTGGAATTCAACCTTGGCCGGTCCTTTGGATCGTTTGCCCATTCCAGCCGGTCAAAACGACCCTTGGGATGGATATGAGCCCGTAGAGAGGAAGCTCCCACCCTGGCTTACACTTCCCCCCGGTCACCCAGGTCTTTGCACCGGGAAAAAGAGGTCCTGGAGCCCATCCGAGCCCGTGCAAGGGTGGATTTCAACCTTGGACGGTCCATTGGAGGAATTGTTTCATTCCAGCCGGTCAAAACGACCCTTGGGATGGATATGAACCCGTAGAAAGGAAGCTCCCACCCTGGTTTACACTTCCCCCAGATCATCCGGGCCTTTGCACCGGGAAGAGAAGGCCCCGGAGCCCATCCGAGCCCGTGCAAGGGTGGAATTCAACCTTGGACGGTCCATTGGAGGAATTGTTTCATTCCAGCCGGTCAAGAAGACCCTTGGGATGGATATGAACCCGTAGAAAGGAAGCTCCCACCCTGGTTTACACTTCCCCCAGATCATCCGGGCCTTTGCACCGGGAAAAGAAGGCCCCGGAGCCCATCCGAGCCCGTGCAAGGGTGGAATTCAACCTTGGCTGGTCCTTTGGATCGTTTGACTCATTCCAGCCGGTCGAAACGACCCTTGGGATGGATATGAGCCCGTAGAGAGGAAGCTCCCACCTTGGTTTACACTTCCCCCCGGTCACCCAGGTCTTTGCACCGGGAAAAAGAGGTCCCGGAGCCCATCCGAGCCCGTGCAAGGGTGGATTTCAACCTTGGACGGTCCATTGGAGCAATTGTTTCATTCCAGCCGGTCAAGAAGACCCTTGGGATGGATATGAACCCGTAGAAAGGAAGCTCCCACCCTGGTTTACACTTCCCGCAGATCATCCGGGCCTTTGCACCGGGAAAAAGAGGTCCCGGAGCCCACCCGAGCCCGTGCAAGGGTGGAATTCAACCTTGGCCGGTCCATTGGAGCGTTTGTCTCGTTCCAGCCGGTCAAAAGGACCCTTGGGATGGATATGAACCCGTGGAAAGGAAGCTCCCACCCTGGTTTACACTCCCCCCCGGTCATCCGGGCCTTGGCACCGGGAAAAGGAGGTCCCGGAGCCCATCCGAGCCCGTGCAAGGGTGGAATTCAACCTTGGCCGGTTGATTTGAGCGCTTGCCTCATTCCAGCCGGTCAAAAGGACCCTTGGGATGGATAGGAACCCGAGCAAAGGAAGCTCCCACCCTGCTTTACACTTCCCCCCGGTCATCCGGGCCTTTGCACCGGGAAAAAGAGGTCCCGGAGCCCATCCGAGCCCGTGCAAGGGTGGAATTCAACCTTGGCCGGTTGATTTGAGCGCTTGCCTCATTCCAGCCGGTCAAAAGGACCCTCTGGGTTGATAGGAACCTCGTAGAAAGCCTGCCCCCGCCCTGGTCTACGTTCCCCACCGGTCACCCTAGAGCCCTCGAACCACAACCGGCCGTGAAGGAAGGTGCGACCCATAGAGTAAAGGGCTCTAGGGAGGGTGTGGGCCCGTGCAAGGACCCACACCCACCCTTGGGCCCACGAAGAACCCCGGTCGAGAATGGAAGTGTGACCCAAAAAAATAGAGGGCTCTAGGGAGGGTGTGGCCCCGTCCAATGAACCACACCCACCCTAGAGCCCACAATGAGCCGGACCCCTCTCATCCCATCCAGGGCGGTTCGGACCGGACCCATCCCACCCGCGGTGTTTCGAACCGGACCAATCCCCACACGGGAGGTGCGGTCCGGATCCATCCCATCTAGGGTGGTGTGATCCGGATCCATCCCATCCCGGGTGGGGTTATTTGGATCCATCCAGTCCAGGGTGGTGAGATCCGGATCCATCCCATCCCGGGTGGGGTGATCCGGATCCATCCCATCCCGATTGGGGTGATCCGGATCCATCCCAACCGGGGTGGTGTGACCCGGATCCATCACGCCTAGGGTGGTGGGATCCGGATCCATCGACCCGGTCGATCCGGTTCCCCGCCCGGTTCCAACCCGGATGATCCGGCCGGTCCGGTCCATCCGGTTCCACGTCCGGTTGACCCGGTTCCCCACCCGGTCGATCCGGCCGGTCCGGTAGATCAGGTTCCCCGTCCGGTCCGGTCCATCCGGTTCCAAGTCCGGTTGACCCGGATCCCCACCCGGTCGAACCGGCCGGTCCGGTAGATCCGGTTCCCCATCCGGTTCCCTACCCGGTTCCGACCCGGTTGATCCGGCTCCCTACCGGGTCGAACCGGTCCCTCACCCGGCTGGGGCGGTTGATCCGGTTCCCCGCCCGGTTGACCCGGTTCCTCACCCGGTTGATCCGGTCGATACGGCCGGTCCTCTAGATCCGGTTCCCCATCCGGTTCCCTGCCCAGTTCCCACCCGGTTGGCCCGGTTGGTCCGACTCCCCACACGATCGGTTCGGCACCCCATGCGGATGAGCCGGATGACCCGGTTCCCCATCCGGATGGTCCGGTCGATCCGGTTCCCGACCCGGTACCCGACCCGGTTCCCCACCCGGATGGTCCCGCTTCCTACCCCAGACCCGGTCGATCCGGTTCCCTTCCCGGATGGCCCAGATGATCCGTTCCCCCGGCCGGATGGTCCGGTCGATCTGGTTCCCGACCCGGTACCCCACCCGGTTGGCCCGGTTGGTCCGACTCCCCACACGGTCGGTTCGGCGCCCCGTGCGGATGAGCCGGATGATCCGGTTCCCCATCCGGATGGTCCGGTCGATCCGGTTCCCGACCCGGTACCCCACCCGGTTCCCCACCCGGATGGTCCGGCTTCCTACCCTAGACCCGATCGGTCCGGTTCCCTTCCCGGATGACCCGGATGATCCGGTTCCCCGGTCGGATGGTCCGGTTGAACCGGTTCCCGACCCGGTACCCCACCCGGTTGGCCCGGTTGGTCCGACTCCCCACACGGTCGGTTCGGCGCCCCGTGCGGATGAGCCGGATGATCCGGTTCCCCATCCGGATGGTCCGATCGATCCGGTTCCTGACCCGGTACCCCACCCGGTTGGCCCGGTTGGTCCGACTCCCCACACGGTCGGTTCGGCACCCCGGTTCCCCATCCGGATGGTCCGGTCGATCCCGCCAGGACCCGACCCGGTTCCCCACCCGGATGGTCCGGCTTCCTACCCTAGACCCGGTCGGTCCGGTTCCCTTCCCGGATGACCCGGATGATCCGGTTCCCCGGTCGGATGGTCCGGTTGATCCGGTTCCCGACCCGGTACCCCACCCGGTTGGCCCGGTTGGTCCGACTCCCCACACGGTCGGTTCGGCGCCCCATGCGGATGACCTGGATGATCCGGTTCCCCATCCGGATGGTCCGGTCGATCCGGTTCCTGACCCGGTACCCCACCCGGTTGGCCCGGTTGGTCCGACTCCCCACACGGTCGGTTCGGCACCCCGGTTCCCCATCCGGATGGTCCGGTCGATCCGCCGGGACCCGACCCGGTTCCCCACCCGGATGGTCCGGCTTCCTACCCTAGACCCGGTCGGTCCGGTTCCCTTCCCGGATGACCCGGATGATCCGGTTCCCCATCCGGATGGTCCGGTCGATCCGGTTCCCGACCCGGTACCCGACCCGGTTCCCCACCCGGATGTTCCGGCTTCTTACCCTAGACCCGGTCGGTCCGGTTCCCGACCCGGTACCCGACCCGGTACCCCACCCGGTTGGCCCGGTTGGTCCGACTCCCCACACGGTCGGTTCGGCGCCCCGTGCGGATGACCTGGATGATCCGGTTCCCCGGTCGGATGGTCCGGTTGATCCGGTTCCCGACCCGGTACCCCACCTGGTTGGCCCGTTTGGTCCGACTCCCCACACGGTCGGTTCGGCACCCCGGTTCCCCATCCGGATGGTCCGGTCGATCCGCCGGTACCCGACCCGGTTCCCCACCCGGATGGTCCCGCTTCCTACCCTAGACCCGGTCGATCCGGTTCCCGACCCGGTACCCGACCCGGTTCCCCACGCGGATGGTCCGGCTTCCTACCCTAGATCCGGTCGATCCGGTACCCGACCCGGTACCCGACCCGGTTCCCCACCCGGATGGTCCGGCTTCCTACCCTAGACCCGGTCGATCCGGTACCCGACCCGGTACCGGACCCGGTTCCCCACCCGGATGGTCCGGCTTCCTACCCTAGACCCGGTCGATCCGGTTCCCGACCCGGTACCAGACCCGGTTCCCCACCCGGATGGTCCGGTTCCCTAGCCTAGATCCGGTTCCCTTCCCGGATGACCCGGATGATCCGGTTCCCCGTCCGGATGGTCCGGTTGATCCGGTTCCCGACCCGGTACCCCACCCGGTTGGCCCGGTTGGTCCGACTCCCCACACGGACGGTTCGGCACCCCATGCGGATGATCCGGATGATCCGGTTCCCCATCCGGTTGGTCCGGTCGATCCGGTTCCCGACCCAGTACTCGACCCGGTTCCCCACCCGGATGGTCCCGCTTCCTACCCTAGACCCGGTACCCGACCCGGTTCCCCACCCGGATGGTCCGGCTTCCTACCCTAGATCCGGTCGATCCGGTAAACCCGACCCGGTACCGGACCCGGTTCCCCACCCGGATGGTCCGGCTTCCTACCCTAGATCCGGTCGATCCGGTTCCCGACCCGGTACCGGACCCGGTTCCCCACCCGGATGGTCCGGCTTCCTACCCTAGACCCGGTCGATCCGGTTCCCGACCCGGTATCGGACCCGGTTCCCCACCCGGATGGTCCGGTTCCCTAACCTAGACCCGGTCGATCCGGTTCCCTTCCGGGATGACCCGGATGATCCGGTTCCCCGTCCGGATGGTCCGGTCGATCCGGTTCCCGACCCGGTAGGGAAGGTAGGGGTCCGTGCAAGGACCCACACCCACCCTAGAGCCCGCAAAGAACCCCGGTCGAGAACGAAGGATGTGACCCAAAGAGCAAAGGGCTCTAGGGAGGGTGTGGGCCCGTCCAAGGACCCACACCCACCCTAGAGCCCACAAAGAACCCCGGTCGAAATCGAAGGTGTGACCCAAAGGAGAAAGGGCTCTAGGGAGGGTGTGGTCCCGTGCAAGGACCCACACCCACCCTAGAGCCCGCAAAGAACCCCGGTCGAAGCCGGAGGCGTGGCCCAAATGAAAAAAGGGCTCTAGGGAAGGTAGGGGTCCGTGCAAGGACCCACACCCACCCTAGAGCCCGCAAAGAACCCCGGTCGAGAACGAAGGTGTGACCCAAAGAATAAAGGGCTCTAGGGAGGGTGCGGGCCCGTCCAAGGACCCACACCCACCCGGGAGCCGGCAAAGAACCGGACCCGTCTCATCCACGGTGGCCCGGTCCGGATCCATCCCTTCCAGGGTGGTTCGGACCGGACCCATCCCACCCGCGGTGTTTCGAACCGGATCAATCCCCACCAGGGAGGTGCGATCCGTATCCATCCCATCCAGGGTGGTGTGATCGGGATCCATCCCAACCCCCGGCGGGGTTATCCGGATCCATCCCGTCCAGGGTGGTGAGATCCGGATCCATCCCATCCCGGGTGGGGTGATCCGGATCCATCCCATCCCGAGAGGGGTGATCGGGATCCATCCCAACCGGGGGGGTGCGACCCGGATCCATCCCGCCTAGGGTGGTGGGATCCGGATCCACCGACCCGGCTCAACCGGTTGATCCGGTTCCCCGCCCGGTTCCAACCCGGATGATCCGGCTGGTCCGGTCCATCCGGTTCCCCGTCCGGTTGACCCGGTTCCCCACCCGGTTGATCCGGTCGATCCGGTCGGTCCGGTGAATCCGGTTTCCCAACCGGTTCCGACCCGGTCGATCCAGCTCCCTACCGGGTCGACCCGGATCCCTCACCCGGCTGGGGCGGCTGATCCGGTTACCCACCCGTTTCCGGCCCGGTTGATCCGACCGAACCGGCCCATTCGGCTCTCCACCCGGTTCCGATCCGGTTCCCCACCCGTTTTTGGTCCGGCTTGTCCGTCCGATTGGGTCCATCCGGCTCCCATCCGGTTGATACGGTTCAACACCCGGTTCCGGATCCGGGTTCCGACCCGACCGACCCGGATGGTCCGGTTCCCCACCCTAGACCCGGTCGATCCGGTTCCCTTCCCGGATGATCCGGTTCCCCGTCCGGATGGTCCGGTTGATCCGGTTCCCGACCCGGTACCCCACCCGGTTCCCCACCCGGATGGTCCGGTTGGTCCGACTCCCCGCACGGTCGATTTGGCACCCCACCCGGACCACCCGGATGATCCGGTTCCCCGTCCGGATGGTCCGGTTGATCCGGTTCCCCGACCCGGTACCCCACCCGGTTCCCCACCCGGATGGTCCGGTTCCCCACCCTAGACCCGGTTGATCCGGTTCCCGACCCGGATGATCCGGTTCCCCGTCCGGATCACTACCCGTTTGGTCCGGTTTCCCACCCGGTACCGCACCCGGTTGGTCCGGTTGGTCCGCTTCCCCACCCGGACCACCCGGATGATCCGGTTCCCCGTCCGGATGGTTGACCCGGCTCCCGACCCGGAACCGCACCGGGTTCCCCACCCGGTTGGTCCGATTTCCCATCCGGTCGATTCGGCTCCCCACCCGCACGGTCCGATTGGTCCGGTTCCCCAACCGGATGGTCGGGTTGATCCGGTTCCCGACCCGGTTCCCCACCCGGATGGTCCGGTTGGTCCGGTTCCCCACCCGGATGACCCGGTCGATCCGGATCCCCACCCGGATGACCCGGATGGTCCGGTTCCCCGCCCGGTACCCTACCCGGCTGGTCCGTTTCCCCACCCGGTTCCCCATCGGGCTTGCCCGGCTGATCCGGTTCCCCACCCGGATCACCCGGTCGATCCAATTCCCCATGCGGATGACCCGGATGATCCGGCTTCCCGTCCGGTTCCCTGTCCGGTTGGTCCGGTTCCCCACCCGGTACCCCGTCCGGATGGTCCGGTTGATCCGGTTCTCCACCCGGATGACCCGGATGATCCGGTTCCCCATCCGGATGACCCGGATGATCCGGTTCCCAGTCCGGTTCCTGACCCGGTACCCCACCC